GCCTGCCTGCCTGCCTGCCTGCCTGCCTGCCTGCCTGCCTGCCTGCCATGCTCTCCACCATAATAGTCCCACATTCTCAAGACTCTCAGCCTCTGGAACTATCAACAAGCCGCCCACGAGCTTTTTCTTCTGGAAGTTGCCTTGGTCATGGTGTTTATTTCATGGTGATAAAAAAGTAACTAAGACACACAATATTCAACTCAAACAGTATGAAGCTGCAAGAAATTCCTGTGGTAAAGCACAGCACCGCAGGGACCTACGCCTTCTGTTTCAAGTAGACCTTTTACATCCCTAGAATGGAGTCAGCCTCAGAGGTTCTTCTGCTCAAACTTTTCATTCCCCGGAGTCGCTCTCACGGGACAAAAGCCGCGGCATCGCACCTACAAACAGAAGAAACAGACCAAGGAACTCATTCAGCTGTGGTGAAAGGAAGCCGTCCCAGATTCAGGTAAGAAAAATGTCTGGCCTCGGGAGGCACCCATTGGAGAAAAGCTTGTTCTCCAGCCTTGTCTGACCACGTACACCAGCACATGCGCACTCTCCACGTGCTTGCCTGTATCCCATGCTCATTGACGCATGCATGATACCACAGGAAGGGCAGGATATGACCCTGCAGCTAAAACCGAGATCTGAAAGCTGTTGGTGGGAAGGAAGTTGAGGTGCAGTGAATGCGTAAAACAGAGAAAAGAAAACTTATGTGCAAGATCCTGGGGTCCATCATATGCCTTTCTATTCGTGGGTGTCTTTCTGCTGTGTCACGTGTGGGTTTGGGGTAACAGCTAGGAATGAAGGCCTCATGGGGGACCTGTGGACACACCTGGGTCAGACAAAATCGAAGTAGGAGAGTTAGGATGAGGGGTGGATGAATGTCAGAGAGCCATCATCCCCAGGAACCCCAGGAACCCAAGGCCTTAGAATCTGCTGGGTACTATTTCTAGGCCGGGGCACCAGACTGTCACCCTGGACTCCAAGGGAAATGACTGCACAGACTAACCGAAGCTGACCATGTGGCTGAGTGGGAGCAGAGAGCTAGCAAGACTGAATTAGGTGCTAGGTGTCACCTGAGACAGGATGGAGAAGAAATTAACGTACCCCTGCTGATGCGAGCATTCACTGGCTGTTCCCACAAACAGCCGCTTCATCCCCAAGCCTCACCCTTCAATTTCTGAATGGCAGTCACATTGGAACTTTTTTATAAGTCAAGAAACTTGCTGTCAGGGCCGGAGAAACGGCTCAGTAGTTAAGAGCACTGGCTGTTCTTCCAGAGGACCCAAGTTTAACTCTCAGCATCCACGTGGGGGCTTACAACTGCTTGTAACTCTAGTTTCAAGAGATCCATTGCCCTCTCCTGGCCTCGGGCACCAGGCATGCGCCGAGAGCACAGGCAAAACACCCACACACGTACAATAATAATTTTTAAAAACTTTTTTAAAAAGAAGTTTGCTGTCTATCTCCGAGACAGGCAGCCCTCCTTCCCTTCTCTCCCCTTTGAAGTGATATCCAAACCCCAATGGTTTCGCTGCCTGGGAGGAGACTGCTTCACACATCTGTAAGCAGTTAATTTTCCCAATGGGAGACGGGCACCACAACTGAAAAGATTTTTAAAATACACACTAGGAAAATATTGCCTCAGCAAACGTGGAAGCGGAGAGCCCACATGAGTGGGCAGTGAGTGGTTCTGGTTCTGGGCAGGAGATCCAGTCTACACCAGTCGCCGTGAATCTTCTCCTGCTGGGCCATGCGGGAATGAGAGAAATGGAGTCACGACCGCCAGTGCGGAGTAGGACCTATGGAGCATGCGCCAGCTCCCAGTGGGGAAGTCAGGGCTCAGGGCATAGGGCTAGCGGGTATCTACGGCAGGGGTAGAGCTCAGACCAAGAACTTTCTGTGTTACAGTAAGCCTCATTTTTTATATGGAGAGGTTAGTTTTTACTCTTTAAAGAAAATGAATGGCCCCTTACTCCTTAACTGCTGCCTTTGGGCCCATGTGAAAGGGACTCCGTGTTGCCCCTACATACACACACACACACACACACACACACACACACACACACACACACACA